CCGGGAACATTTCCTCCTTACAGCTGCTTCTGTTGTCTACCATTTGCATGTCGGAGCTGTTCTGAGTGCTCTCTCCTGTTGGTGAGGCCTCATACAGCACACAGATGGAGCCATCTTCTCCAATTCTATAGCACACTTCGTAAGGGTCAACCCAGAGTGTGAGTTCACTTGGGAGAAGCCTGAACAGCTCCTGACTGCTCAGTCCAATGCGCTGGGCAGCCTGTGCAATCAGAGGATCCATTTTATGATTGATGCGAATACAACGGTAACCTGATCCCTTGAATGGCATTTCTGGGAACCAATGATGTTTATAATGTTCTGCCAGAAGCTCCTGAAGCGTCTGGCTGAAGGTGTGCAGCAGGACTTCACTTGTGAGCCCCTTGGTGCGGAGGAACTTAGAGATGAAAGCCACTGCGACTGTGATCTCGCACATCATGTTGGGAGCCGGGGGGTACACAGGATTCACTGGGACAGTAACTGGGGGCGGCTCAGGTTGGCATGGAATGGGTGGGAAGACCCCAACAGCACAGTGGCTAGCCCATGCTCCCTCAGGCACCAGGCAGCTGGGAGGAAAAGAAAGATGCTTTAAGGAAGAGACAGCAACCTTTTTTCCTTTGTTTTTGTAGAGTAAAAAAAAAGTTATTTTCAAGACAAGAGGCTGCTGGAGATAGAAAAATCAAGGAGCAGTGACCTGATAACATTACTCAGACTTCCCAATGGCTTGTGTGTCCTGTTTTTTAGCATTGGAAGATCCCCACAGCTGCGCTTCCATCTCCCACGGGCTCAGACTATGCCTATTCTTTCTCACCAGGTAGTGGTGCACAGCAACTGTCCCTGGGGTCTTTTGAGGACTGAGGAGAAGAGCTTTCCTTGTTCTCCAAGGGGCTGAACATGCTAGTGTCTCACAGACACTGAACAGGGATGGTCAAAGTCCCAGACGCAAACATGCAGAACACAAAGGAAAGAACTCAGGAGACTGGCTTTCCCACAAGGCCTTTCCTTGACTAGACTCCAGAGAGCATTGGGAAGAAGGCTGATGTCTTACACTCCTAATCCTGGTGGACACAGGCCACTCTTCAAACTGAGGAGAATGTTGGCTAAGGGTCTACAGAGGCCACAGGATGGCAGTGTGCATAAGTCTAATGAACACACACAGTTCTGTGCTGAGTGCCACAGCTGTGGCATCCCTGGTCCCTTTCTTCACTACTCTTATGGGTGCTCCCCAGGTATCATCCCTTTTCTGAGTCCTCTGCAGTTCAGAAGCTGGTGCTATCAATTGGCACACATGTCAAAGGCTCATTCTCCACAGTGCCAACACTGCAAGGTGAGGCCTTGTTCAGTGAGGTCTCCAGGTTATAGACACCATGCCCCAGAAGAAACTGTGCAGCCCCAGCTGATCAGGTCTCTTCTTCTTCCTGGCTTCTCTTGCGTGTCATTTTCTCCATCACATACTTCAAGCCGGATGTATCCTCACCAAACCCCCAAAGACATGGGGTCACCTGATCTTGGACTGACAAGTTCAGGCCTATGAGCTAAATAAACTATCTTCCTTTATAAGTAAGTTGTCTTATATATTTTGCTGTTTACTAAGACACTGACTATCACAGCTAGGAAGGCCACCAAAATTTTGATAATGTTGCCTACTTATATATTTCGCTGTTTACTAAGACGCTATCACAGCTAGGAAGGCCACCAAAATTTTGATAATGTTGCCTAAGATGAGACCATCTACGTAAGAGAAGCACAGAACGGATTTTTAACTGAAAATTCTAGCACTCGCACCTACCTTGAGAGGCAAACCCAGTGAACTCTGGTTTCTTAGCATCTAAGAGCATGAGCTTACAGGTGCAAACCAAATCTTTGAACAAACACTTTGTAAACATGTTTGAAAGTGTCATGATACCTGGTGTGGTGGTACACATGTGTAATCCTAGCACTCAGCACTCAGAGTGAGGAGGACTAAGATCAAGGCCATCTGGATCACATAGGGAATTCCAGGCTGGCCTGGCATACTTAGTGACACCTTCTCTGAAAAGGAAAACAAAAACAAAAGCACCATGTCCACTGACAAATCTTGTGACCCGACAAAGAATTACAGAGCCTTTAGCCTGGAAGCACTTGGGGAGGGTCTCCTTCAAATCCTGGTAGCATCTGGTCACAGCAGAGCAAGAGAAGTAAGACACCTGTTTTAGAAACTATGGCTGACCTGAGAGAGGGAAAAGGGTACCACTGAGTGGAGGGAGGACTCTTGATCCTTTCTGCTTAGGTGAGATTCCATTGCCAACTCTATCTCTACACAGAGTAAGCCCCAAGAATGAGATGCTAGAGAACATGTATCACCTAAATCAGTGACACTGCCAGGTACTGGTGTCTCACCTCCTTGTTACTCAAGAGGCTGAGATCTAAGGATCATGGTTCAAAGCTATACTGGATAGGAAAGTCCTTGAGACACTTAGCTCCAATTAACCATAAAAAAGCCAGAATTGGAGCTGTGTCTCAAGTACTGGAGTAATAGCCTTGAGTTAAAAAGCTAAGGAGGGCTGGGAAGGTGGCTCAGTGGTAGAGCGCTTGCCTTGCATGCCTGAGGCCCTGGGTTCCATTCCTCAGCACCACATAAGCAAAAAGAAAAAAGCCGGAAGTGGCGCTGTGGCTCAAGTGGTAGAGCGCTAGCCTTGAGCTGAAGAGCTGAGGGACAGCGCCCAGGCCCAGAGTTCAGGCCCCTTGACCGGACCCAAAAAATAAAAAAATAAAAAAAAATAAAAATGAAAAGCTAAGGAACAGCACCCAGGTTCTGATTTCAAACACTGTTACTGGCTTGCATATGTGTACACACTGAAACACAGACAGAGGACAAACACACAGACACACAGATACACAGATACACACACACCCACACCCACACCCACACCCCCCCCCACACACACCAGTGATATGTACTGTCATCTGTAGCGGGAAACAGGAGATGACTGTCTTGGTTTTAAATGGGGTCTTTTGCGGGGGGGCCTGGGCACTGTTCCTGAGCTTAGTTGTTCTAGGCTAATACTCTATATAATTTGAACCACACCGCCCCTTCTGGCTTTTTGGTGGTTACTTGGAGATAAGAGTCTCATGGACTTTCCTTCCCAGGCTGGTTTTGAACCTGGATCCTCAGACCTCAGCCTCTGGAGTAGCTTGGAATACAAGTATAATTGAGCCACCAATGCCACACATGTTTTGTTGTCTCCTTTTCCAGGTCCACTGGCACATTTCCCTTTCGGATTAGTTATGTCTACCTTAACAGTAGGAACTTTCCTTAGGACAGAGTCAGAGAAAATTATGCTTCAGAAATTAAATGGAAATGAACGGCAACTGTCAGAATCCACAGAGAAATGAGAAGCGAAGCAGAGGTCAATTTAGATATCAAAGCAGTGAGGCATTGGCCATTCCCTCCCACAACAGATGAACAAAGATGTTCCTGTCTGGCCATGCGTGAGCTTAGCCCTAGTTGGGAACATTCTGACCAAGTGGCAGTAAGATATACCCCTCCCTTGGGCCCATAGAAGCAGACAAAAGCAACCTGGAAGAGTAATTGGAAGAACTCAAAGAAGGCCAAGATGGGGGTGAGGAGGAAAGTTGGGTTACCAATCATGTTCACACAACCTACCTTACAGGAACTGATACCCATTGACCAATCTGACCCATGTAGTCGAAGTAATACACCGGACTAGGCTCAGCTGGGGCTGGCTCTTGACCAAAGCATTGCAGGCAGAAACACGCCTCCCCCATCTTCAGGAGTGGTTGAGGCGACTGAATCTTGGTTTGTCAAGTCAGGCAGGACCAGTTCCCATGACGCTCATGTACCTGTCAGCAGATAGAAACTTTTCTAGGAATTCCAACTACTCCATCAGTACCCTTTCATAAGAGAGAGTACTATATAGAGGCTCTTTGAGGAATTTCAACTTCCCCATCATACCCTTTGAGAAAAGAGAGGACCTGGAACCTGCCAGTGGCCTCTCTTCACTGCACTTGAACAAGGTGCCAGCTCCTGAATGGCTGTAACCCACATTTGTGACATGCATGACACACAAAGATAATGATGATGTTAGCAGAGGGCTTCCCAGTAAGTAGACTGTAAAACTCAGGCAAGAACCTTTCCTGAACAACCCATTGAGACTAAAGGATATTTTGGTCCTAAAAGGACAGTAACTAATAGTCCTGGGTACAAAATGTTCCTGATGCCTTTCATACGATGGAAGATAACAAAGCCAAGTTGGCTCTTTCTGTTGGTGATAAGCCAGCAGGTGAAGTGTCATCAAATCCTTTCCCTAGTCCTACCATGGATTCAAGAGACGGTATGGATGGGCATGGTGGCCAAGACATAAGGAACTACCCACCCAAGATAAAAAAGAATCTGGTGAGGACAAACAGAATGAGGCCAATAAAGAAGACAACGGTAATTGCCACACCTCCTTCTTGAGAAAATTATGGCTGGTTGTAGAGAACAAGGCATTTAAATCAGTGACCTGGAACAAAGAAGACCTTGTGATTATCAAGGCAGAACACTTTCACATCAAGGTTTTGGACCTCAAAGACCTAGACAAAGTTTTTGATGCATAAAGCTTGAAGAGTTACATTCGCCTACTAAATCTGCATGAATTCACCAAGATCTGCCCAAACAACTCTACTATTCAGGCTCAAGGGCAGAGAAAAAAATCATGGTAAGTTAAAAAGTACTTGTCTCTTACTTTCTCTTTGATGAGAACCTCAGTCAGCGTCTTGTCCATGTACTGCCACCTCAAACTGCAAACCCTTTTATCTTTGGTGAGCTCATGTTGAACGGCATAGTGACCCCTGCCAGCAACCTAAAATCCATTTGCTCCATGATGAGCCGTTAGGATTGGGGAAGGGGAGCAAGCAATGATCATATTATCCCAGAAAGAATGAAATATTTCATTTGTTTCAGATGTACCATAACTGGAATTTTCACAGAGACAACCCAGGTCGGGTTCAAAATATTTGCATTAGAGGAAATAGTAGACATAAGTGATCTGCAAGAAATAACACAAAACAAGTCCGAAGAAAGAAAATAGGAGGAGGCCGAGAGCGCAAGTGTCCAGCAGAATGCCGAGCATGAAGTTAACTGAGATCCCCAGAGGGAGTGCCTCAATGAAGTAGGATTCAGGGGGATGTGCCATTATATTTCTCTGGGTTCCCCTTGAGAAAGACCTCCGCCCTCCAAGAACCAAATAATTCTAGTGGAAAGGGCATCTGAGGGAGCAACCTCTTTGAGCCTGCGCCTGACTATGAAAATGAAGGCAACAGGGAAGTATGTGGCACGCCACAACCAGTTCCTAACATACAGTAGGTAATAGATTTGTACAACATCTGCTATTCTATTCTGCTGGGTTTCGCTGCTGCTCATGGCTCCAGATGAGCTTCTGGAAGGTGAAGAAGATCAGAAGGAGGAAGAGGAGGAGAAGGAGGAAGAGGGGTCCACAGATTATAAATAAAAGCACTATGAACATTTCAAGAACAATGCAGGGCCGTGAAATCATCGGCCGCTCAAGACCCATAAAAATATTAATTTTGAGATATGAAGCCATGTTTTATGTTAATAAGCCCCAAAATATCCAGTCAGATAATAAACAAACTCAATGATAGTCTTGAGTCTGTGTTGTTCAGAACCTTTCTTACTGCGCACCCGTCAGTAGCATATACCCTTTCCCCCTTTGCTTCCCCTTGATGTCATTCATTTGAGCAGCAGCATTGCCAATAGAGGATTCCATAGGGCTGAGGGCAGGTCCAGGAAGATCTGGGTCCCTGGGTCTTACCTGGGGTCAGGCCTGGTCCTCACCTGGGACAGGGAGAGTCACCTCACTAACGATTTGGGTATCTTGAAGCAGGAGATTGCTCCCTCATGAATGCTCCCCAATCAACACTGCCAGGAAGGTCTGGTTACCAGCTGATGAGTTCTACTCCCAAGATCCTTCAGGACTGCAAGCTGCCCATCCAACAAGACATGGACCATTGCCATCTCCTGGCTCACAGGACAGTACATTCCAGTCACTCCCACAGGGTAGGGGATCGGGAAGGCCAGGATTCTTATAGATAACATTCACTAGAACATTTACTGCAAGATAAACAGTACTTGCTTCAAAATCTCAGGGGGAATTTTCCCATGAAGTGGAAACAAGAGAAAGGATGTATGGCTGCTTTGTTTCCAAGTGTCATGTCTTCTTTAACCTAGATACCTCAGGCTTTTTCTGGCTGCTCACTCTCAGCTGATACCATACAGTGTCCAGTCCTAGGCCTCACACATACCCCCAGGATGCTGTTCAACCATTCCATGAAGTTTGACTCAAAGAGGTGCAACAGTCATAGGCACATTTGTTTGTTTCCTGCAGAACATAGCAAGACCAATGTCTGGGACAACACTGAGACATTTCCCAGCAGCCTTTCCTTTTCCCAGAGGGACAAGGTACTAGATACCTTAGCAAGAAGCCTCAAGAAGAAATGCACAAAGATGGTCACTTCTTGTGACCTCATCACCTGAGTGTGGGAACAGCACTTACTGGTTACTGCTTAACAAGGTTTTGGCATTTAGAGCTAGCTGATTTTTATAGGACTGAGCTATGATTGGGAATAGATACTTCATGATTTGGTTTGTTTGAAGCAATGCTGTCTTCCAAGATCCAGACAAATTGTGTTTCACAGCCCAAAGGGATCAAGTGTATGAGGATGTCTACCTGAAATATGTCTACCTGCTTTTCCTAGGTAAGGGCTCCAGTAAACACATGGGGTTGGAAATCACGATCTGGTACTTGTGCTTCAGGTAGGTCAGTACAGCTTGCTTTTCCTCTTCCTCGGCCTGGTCAGGAGATAAGTTTTCCAGACATTGTCTAGTTCCCCCAATGTCACAAAAGAGAGAGACACTCATGTGGTTTCCCTTCCACAAACCATGGCTGGCAACAGGACCGTTCAAATTACATAGTGCTGAAGACCCAGATTAATACCAAAATGACACGAAGCAAGCTGAATCTTCTGAGCCCTGGGGCCACACTAAACAGTGCTCACAGCTTTCTCATAAGGCACATAGAGGCTCCAGAAATGAACAGGAGAAGGCCCGGGTATCCGTGGAGAGGTACAAGTAACCAAGTGGCAACTGGGTCTCTCTACAAGACACTTAAAGGTAGCAATTATAGCTGATAAACCTATGGAGAATAGGATACCTAAGGATACCAGGTGGCAGATGCTGCTGCAAGACTTCAACCATGCTTTGGTTAGAGGACTGCTACATGGAAGAGTCACGTGAAGCCAGACAGGCAGCTTAACTTGGCCACCCACCCAGGATCATTATGTTTCTTCAGATTTGACTAAGATATAATCACACCCACAGCCACACACCCACAAGCACACTTATACACAGAGGTGTGCACAAAGACATCGGTAAACACCACATGTGATGCTTTCCTTGTACCTGGACTGTCAGGTCATAAAATAGGAAGCAATGAGCACAGAGGACTCATTCCCCTAGATGATGGAACACAGGCCCCCTGAGTCCCTGCCCAGTGCCCCTCCTGACCCCTTTGAAGACGTTTTGCGGGGGGGGGGGAACTAAAGTGCATATCCGCCAACTCACAGGACAACAGAAGCCACACACTTCCAACCACCACCCTGAGGCACTTTTTGGGAATTGCCTTCACCATGCTCAACACATCCTCACTTACCCGCTACCACACCTTGGCCACACATTTCCCCTTCCTGGAGCAAGGTTGGAATCTGTTCAGGGTTCATCCCCAGCCTCTCCACCAGCAGCTCCCACCAGGAATCATCTTCCCAGTCTCTGTGAGCAATGTGAGTGGCAATGGTACAGTTCTGATGGCTCCTCAGCAGGGGTCGCCAACGTGTGTCCAGGTTCTTGACTCCACCAAACACAAAACCAGTAAAAGGCTGCTGGAAGGAGAGGCAGCCAAACTTCCATCTTCCTCTAGCTCCCTGGACCTAACACAGACACATGTCATACCCCAGCACTTAAACCTCATAACCGATGTGATTCATCTGCTAAGTACTCTGAAATACCACTGACCCCACAGTGTTCTGCTTCTACGTGTCGCCATAGGTCACTGATGCCCTGCTCCACAATACACCAAACACAAGGGGCCAGACTGTCTTGGATCCATTCGTTGAGCCTTTGGGTTGCTCATGGCGTAGGAGCAGACATGTAGAGAAAATCAGACTGCACAGTTTGTGGTTACTGCTAGGCAGAGTGCTAGGGCCACAGAGGAAATGGGGTCCTCCTATGTAAGTCAGGGCTTTATGGTCAAGGGGCTAGGTTTAGTAGAGTGAAAGTCTGGGCTCTGCAACTTTACCTGCCTGTTGTATACCACCCTCAGCCACACCTTCCCTTCCCTTCCTTTCCCTTCCCTTCCTAGTACTATCGATGCATGTGTTGCAGGCCCAGTCTTGGTTACTATTCTGGCTTGGCTTGGCTCATGAGTTGGATCCCAGGTGGACTCATCAGTGTCACAGACTTAAGACCCCAAAGGACTTAGGACCACTCCAGATATATCTCCCTTCCTCTGCTATTGGTATGGAGTCTTCCAACCCCATGTGTGTGCCCTTACTGAGCCAGCTATCTCAACCACCATCTATGTCGCTCAACTCTACTTCCCAAACTTCCAGTGTGTACACAGCTAGCATTCAAATCCCACTTGCTGCTGTACTCATCAGCATTCTGGCCATTCCTGTGATGCTAAAAATAGCTGCAGTCAGCAGTTTTATTGATCTTGTGACAAATGTGCTGCCCCTGTTTCCTGGGGACCCAATCATCCATAACTCCTGAAAGCTTATCCACTCCCCAGCTCATGAGATTTCCCAGAACCAGCTGAAATGCTCCTAGTTTTCTTGGTGCTCAATTCTTTCTTTCTTTCTTCCTTCCTTCCTTTTTCTTCCTTTCTTCTTTCTTTCTCCCTCCCTCTCTTTCTTTCTTTCTTTCTTTTTCTTTCTTTCTTTCTCTTCTTTTCTCCTGGGGCTTGAACTGTGGGCCTGGGCACTGTCCCCAAGGTTCTTTTATTCAAGGCTAGCGCTCTACCAATTGAGTGACATCACCACTTCTGGCTTTTTCTGAGTAGTTTATTGGAGATAAGTCTCAAGTACTTTTGTACCCAAGCTGGGTTCAAAACGCAATCATCAGATATCAGCCTCCTGAGTAGATAGGATTACAGGAATGAGCCACCAGCGTCTGGCTCTCGCCTTATTTCCTAAGGAGAGGATAAAAGGAGATTCCAAGAACAGCCGAATTGTATAACCAGCTGTTTTTCCAGGCAGCTTTATCTTCCATTTTGCAATAAGTTTCTCTTCTGCTCAACTTTTTCTCTATTCTTGGATTTATTTCTATTCTGCTTGGAGAACAAGGGGTCAATGTTGCTAACCCATCACCTGATCTCATGGTATCCCTCAGCTAGGAGCTTGCTAGCTATAACGTCATTTCCATGCTACAACCAGAATGTCCTTGGGACTAGGAGCACCAGATTATGTCACTCCTGTGCTGAAACATCCCGAGGTCTCCTGTCTAAAGTAGAACTGATTCGACAATTGTCACCAGAGCCATTGGGGTCCCTCATCCTATAATGGTCTCCTCAATAATGCAACACAGACCTCCTTCTACCTGCAAAGTATGTCCAGTTTGTTTCTGACCCTTGGTCTTTGAAGTGTGCTAAGCGGTTCCATTGTGTCATCTTACCATTGTTAGCCAAGTGCCCAACTCAAGTATCTGAAGACGAGAGCTTATATAGACAGAGAAGGTGTCCAGATTGACACCCTTCCCGCAGGGTTACATGGCCAAGTTTGAGATTTCTGTCCTCTGAGTCCCGGGTAGCCCACCTGCTGTGTGGTGGCACAGGCCCCAGAGCTGCACACTTCACAGTCTGTGCTGGCAGGGAGTCCCCAGTGTATGGGCAGTGTGCGACGGGTGGGATGGCGTTCAGATAGCAGCACACAGGGTTTCAATGGAGGACATCAACCAGGCTGTTGGCATCCACACTTAGAAGAAGAGGGAGTGACAGTCTAGCAGGAGGACAGGGCAGGCAAAAGTTGCCTCCTATATGGGGTTCGAATCCCATAGTGAGGGAAACCCCAACCCAGAAGTACCTTGTGAGGAGGGTCCACTGTACAGCTTCCTCAGCACCCCAGGTCTCAGACACCGGTCTTCCTTCGATTTTTCAGGGCTCAGATCTGAGGCAGAGAGATGCGCATCCTCTGCCTCCTCCCGTCGCCTCCAGCGAGGCTTTCAGCGTCTGTTGGAGAGCCTCCTAGGCCCCGTGATTAGTGAGGGAGGGCGGTCCAAGGAGGAGGATACCCCGCATGCTTGCTTCCGGACTAGGTCGCTGCTGACGTCACTTCAGGGCCCGCAAATAGAAGACCGGAGTCTCCCGGCCTCCGACGCCCCTTTTTTACAACGGGAGCTAGGCAGGTTCACGTGCACACGAACTCCACAAGTCCACGCGGGACAACCACTAGTTGTGTATCCTGGATACGGAGACGCTCATTACGCAATCACGCAATTGCGTATGCACGCGTTTAGCAGCGTACTGGTCGCTAGGAGACGCTGTGGGACGCATAGCGCATGCGTCCATCTCGCCAGTGCCTGGGTCCACGAATCTAGTGTTGTGGGAAAAGGAATCTGGCATGAACCCGAAGGGTCAGAATCTGGACAGCTAGCAGGGGCGGGGAAGAAGGAATATACAGACAGCTTAGAAAATACTTTAGGATGGGGGGCAGTCGCTGGGGGAAGAAGATGGGGGAGTCGAAGTTAATTGAGGGCGTGCTTGGGGGTGGAGCAGGGCGGGGCATCGGGAGAGGAGGCTGGTTGAGGGCGGGTCCTTGCGGGAAGATACAGTTTGGGCGACTCCTGGAGTAACAGGCTGCGCTTGGAGGATTGAGATTGATTGAAGGCGGGACTTTTTAGGTTGCGGAGTGATGGGGGTTGGAAAAGCGAAGAGGGATTGCGAGTGTCCCGCCAGAGTTGGGCGGGGCTTTAAGTAACCCCTAGAGAGGCTGTGAGTGCTAAAAAGGAGGGCGGGGGCAGAGACTTGCGGGTGGAGCAAGCACATGTTTCAAGTCTGAGATAAATTGCAGGTGGATGCTTTATGGGATAAGGTCACTTGTGGTGTGGGCTGGGGGAACCAAATGGCAGGACCTTCAGTTGGAGGCATGAAAAGGGAGGAGCCAAGCTGAAGTTTGCTGATGTTGAGTGGGGCCCTGGAATTGTAATGGAGGGATACGCAGTGCAGTTTGGAGTAGGGTAGGGACCCGAAACAGCCTGATTGTCACCATGGGGGACAGAAGGAACAGGGTAGACTTGGGAGAGAGATTTGGGGTTAGAACTAGGGCAGAATTGGGGCAAGGAGAGGAGCAGAGTTTAGGAGGAGGGGAGGTACAGATTGGGAGGCTGGCTGGAAGCGGGGCCAACATGCACTGAGAGAAGCTGGAGTGGGGCTGAGGCGGAGCTAGGAATGTTTACAATAACTAGGGGTAGAGCTTCAGCGGGGATGGGGTCTGAAATGAGACTCGGATAATGGAGTCGTTTGAGGGGGATTGGCAGGAAACAGGAGAATGGGTCTACTATAAGGAAGGACTGGACTTAGGGTTAAAGTGCTATGTCTTTATGCAACAGACAGAATGACAAACACTCGGTGACTTATGCTGACCTTGACAAGTGTACTCATGATGGATGCTGGGAGGCAAGGAAGCTGTGGGCAAGGCAGAGACTTGCTTGGGCCCAAGGACCCCTGGGTAAGTCTTGCACAGCAAGGCTGAATCCTATTGGCAGGCGCTCCTTTCCATTAGCCCCAGGGTCTCACTGGCTGTACTGTCCTAAGGGATGTCTTATTAAAGCCTATTTGGAAGGGTAGAGAAAGCAGCCGCCCCCATGCCCTGATGTCCTTAAGATCTATATTGTCCAGAGCCTGGCCTAATAACCATCAATGCTGGTTTGCACAGTGCAGCTAGATGTAGGCAGCGGGACCCTGATGTCCTTCAGAGCCATTGGGCTTTCCTCTTTTCCCTGGGCATTGTCTGGAGAGCCATGCTTTAGGTCCTCCTTCTGTTTCCCAACGCTGCTTCCTGAGGCTAGGCTTCCCCTCTACAACACACTGTGCCCTGAGCTCCTGACCTACCTGAAAACCTCTCTTTCTTCTCGAAAGCAGATCCTCTCCATTTTGCAGTTTCCTTTCTAAATAACACCACTGCTGTTCACCAGTCTCCTACTGAAAACCTGCCAAGTCTGGTGTAGTTTAGGCCTAACATCTCAGGTGTCAACTCCAGCCCTCTTCACTCTCTTGGCTGAACATGGATCAAGGCCACGCTGTGCTATGAAGTCCCTGATCATGACATATTATGCTTCCAGTCCTGCACCTTGAACTCAGGGCCAGACTGCTGTCCCTGAGCTTCTTTTGCTCAAGGCTAGTGCTAGACCACTTGAGCCACAGCTCCACTTCTGGCTTTTTTTTCTATTTAATTGGAGATGACAGGCTCACAGATTTTTCTGCCCAGGTTGCCTTTGAATAACAAATTGCAGTTCCCAGCTTCTTGAGTAGCTAGGATTACAGAAGTGAACCACCAGTGCCATCAAGCTCCAGATGGAGGTCCCATACCCTGGAAAGGTAGCCCTTTCCTTGTTCTGGCAATCTCTTATCATCAAGGGACAACGTTGATGTCACCTTTCCTGTCACATCAAGTTAGAGACTTCTGTCTCTGAGCTGTAGAAGCATTTGGACATTGTTCCTTTGGCTTCTGCCTTAGCCCTTGTAACCTGGGACTCGTAATTGGGTAATTGCCCTATCTGGGTGTGTGATTTCTGGGCCTCTGAGTTCCTCTCAGGGAAGGCCTATTTTCACTTTTTCCACAAATTTGGATTTCTGGGACTCAAAAGCTACTTGGTCGGTCACTATTTGAAAGACAAAGGAACGGCTCTCTTCTATTTTTTGTGTATGGTTCCCTAGGCTTGAACTCATGGCCTGGGCACTGTCCTTGAGCTTTTTCTGCTCTAGGCTAGAGTTCTGCAACTTAAGCCACAACTCCACTTCCAGCTTTTGGGTGATAAATTGGACGTGAGAGTCTCCCAGGCTTTCCTGCCTGGGAGATCTCAAGCTCCTGAATAGCTAGAAGGATTATAGGTGTGAGCCACCAGTGCCCCACTTGGCTGTCTTGTTTTCTTTAGTGAGATGCATCTATTCATTCCCTGGTGAAGCTGGAGGAGATGGGAGAACTGGAGTTGAGGTAAGGTGAAGTGAAGAGAAATCTCACCTTATGAGAGCAAAGCCTCCAAGCTCCCATAGACCTTAGCGATCACAGATCTCTATCACTGATGATTCCAATGTATGCACTTATAGACAGAACCAACCTTTCTCCTGCAGCAGGCTTCGGGGAGGTGGTTGAACTGCCTGATGCAGGAGATAGCAACCTGGGTTCTGCTTCCAGTGCATTGCCCACAGGGCACTCTATGATCTGCTGGCATGGGTGAGAGCACAGCGTCAGGAAAGGGTAGATCTGAGGACACAGCATCAGACTCACCTCAGAAAGAAGTCAGCACACATGATTCAGAAAGGGCTTCTTGAACACACATCCTCACAGGACTGTGATGGGTTGCTTCCAGGCTGACCTTTGAAAGGTGGAACCTTGGCTCGGGCAAGGTTTGATTATGGTTATGTGCTGACCTATTCCTCGTTGTGTCATCTTCCAGCTGTCTTACCCTACTTCAGTTGAAGTGAAAGTGGTGGGTGATCAGCAAGACAAGCCTGCAGCTTCCTTGGTATCACATTCCATGTAGTGCGAAGGCAATGTGAGTACTGGGGTGATTCATTGTAAAACAGTTCTTCTCTTCCTTCTCTAACCATTTCTGCCTTCTCCATTGTCTAATTTTCTGCAATCCTATTATCTAGGAAGGAAGATATGGAATGGTAGATGTTAAGAGAAACACATATTCCTATGGCTCTTTACAATGAAAACAGAGGAATATACTTTTCATTTCCCAGGGGTGGGGATGGAAGCCTGTTGCTTCCAGTGCTTCTTCTAGAACTTCAGAAGCTGGACCAATGCTTGGAGACATACCAAGCCCAGATAGGTAGATTATGTATAGGAAAAGTCCAGAGTGTTATAGAATACCTGAGTTTGAATTTCAGCAGTTCCTCTCTCTGTGTAGCCTTGGCTCTTTTTCCCTCCACTGGCATATAGGGAGTCCAATTAATGGGTAGGCTGGTGGGTACATTGAAATATCACTATGCCTTATAGTACTTGGCACCAGAGTTCCATTGGCAGTGCAGAAAAACAAAGGCTCATGATATACATAGCCAGAAGCTATACTGGAAAAGCCTAGGCACCAGCCAGATGTGTGAAGTTGGAAGTAAAAGATTCAGGTCTCATTGCCAAACAAAACTTACCTCCTTCAGGGATATAACTGAGTAAGCAATGTATACAATTCTAAATACAATATGTATTTAACATTTGACCCGGGGGTTGTTTGAAATAGCATTTTCCAGAATTCCTGTGATAGAGCTAGAAATTTGGGGTAGTGTGAAGAAAATAGTCAATATAACAAGTCTGAGACTACTGGCCTTAGAAATGCCTACTAGGAAGTTTTGGCAGAAGCAAATTCCCTGACACCTGAGGATTTGGCTATCAATTAACTGGTCAACACTTAAGTGTCTCACTATGCCTAGACTGCACAAATGATACTGTTTATGTTGAATTCTTGCTTTCCTTCTGAAAGTCTGGAATGTTGGCCTATGATAGGCAGAAGTGCCTACGTGACCAGTTCCCAATATAAACTATGGACACTGAGTCTAGGCTGCCCTGGTGAAAGATATCATGCATGGGTCACTGAATTTTGTTGCTAAGGGAAAAGTATGTTTTGTGTGAGTCTTGAGTGAGGGGACGGCATAAAATCATGTGCCCGGGGATCCTCCAGACTGCCTATCTCTTCCCCATGTGATCCTGGCATAATCACTATCTCTTTAGCTGGGATACATATCTGACTAGGTCTAATAATCAGAATATACAGAGAAAAATAACTCTCACAGAATCAATAGCCCAATTAATAAAGGACCAATGGACTGAATAGACACTTCTCAAAAAGTACAAATTGGCAACAAATACATGAAGAAGAATATGTTTAATTAGTGTCACCTCATGCTATACAGGTTGGGAAAGTACAAACTCACTTGACAAACTTAGGACAGGACCCTGGTTTTTTTTCCACGTCTAAATGTAATATTTCTCTTTTCCTCTCACTCAGTGAAGTGTTTTGATAATTTGTCCATAAGTCTGTCAGTAGATGAAAAATCTCAAGCTAAGTCCCCCTTTTCCCTTCTTGAACAAGCTTTCTACCTCCTTTGTAAAATGAAGGGCAGTCAGCCTGGTATGGTGGCTCAAGCTTGAAATCCTAGCTCTCAGGAGAACAAGGCAGTAAATTCCAGGCTAGCTTTGTATACATAGGGAAACTCTGTATCAAGAAATGAACAGGATGGTGTAAATGCTTTATAAAGATCTTACTGTCTTTCATTTTCCCGGAGTTATTCAAGATCTTATTTTTTAGTTTTTCTTGACTTTCTCACCATAGCAA